CGCGGACCTCCCACCCCCGCTGGAGAATGTACTTGAGCACCCGGCCGAACGGGGCACCCCTGCTCCCTCGGCCCCCGTGCAGGGGTGCTGCTCAAACGGGGACCCATCCCTGCTGATGAGATGGGCTCTGGGGCCCCATGGGTGGTGCTGAGGGCTGATGTGGTCCTGGCTGTGGTGGAGGAGAGGGTGACATGAAGACTCCACAGTCACTGGGCTGTGGTGCTAACAGGGCCGAGCCCAGCGTGGGATGTGTGGGGGGAGTGGGCAGCGGGGGCTGTGTCTGCCTGGTGGCAGCAGGAGTCGCAGTGGGTGGACTAGGGCAACTCAGGGAGGACCGTGTCTGTTTTTCACTGTGTCCCTCTGTCTTGAAAGGCTGTGGTTTTGGCCAAGGAGACTGTTCCCGTGGAGATGCCACCTCTCATGGCTACCACCGAGGTGTTCCCCCACCGTGTTGCCCCCTGTGTGGAGAAGAGGGTCCTGCAGCCAGCCAGCCCTGCTGAGGCCTTGCGGGGCCGAGACTGCACACCTGCCCTGGGAGAGAGCTCTAAGGCCGTCACAGCGGCCACCCCTCCCCTGGGCAGAGACAATGAGAAGAGGGACTGGTCCAAGGATGATGTGGCTCTGGAAGCAGCAGCTGATGGTGAGTGGCCAGAGCTCAGGGGTTGGCCTGGTCAGGAAGGTCCATCTGCTCAGGCCATCGCTTGGGCCGGCCCGCAGTGGTGCCTCAGTGTGCAAGGAGGGTAACGTCTCTCTCCATGGCTTTCCTTTCTCAGAGCCAGAGCCTTTTGTGAGCCTGTCCTTTGTCAAGAATGACTCATACGAGAAGGGCAATGACCTGGTGGTAGTGCATGTCTATGTGAAAGAGATCCACAAGGAGACATCCAAGGTGTTGTTCCGGGAGCAAGACTTCACGCTGGTGTTCCAGACGAGGTACGGCCGTGCCTCGGGACGGCGCCAGGCTCTGCGCAGCTCCTGCCTGTGACCAGGCTGCTTATTTGTTCACTTCTCACTCGCTCCCGATTTCTTTGCAGCGACACAAACTTCCTTCGCCTCCATCCTGGCTGTGGGCCCCACACAGTGTTCCGGTGGCAGGTGAAGCTCAGGTATGGCTCCCATCCTTCTAGCCCATGCTGGGGCAGGAGCTGAGAATGCAGAGCGGGAGCAGGAGCCAGTCCCAGCTGGGGGGTCTGTGCAGGGAATGCTCCTTTCTGCACGGGGGGGTCTCCCTCACACCATGCTGCCCTAATGCCCCAAGCCTGGGCTGCCTTAGCTCTGTCTGGTGGCTTGCAGGGGAGGAAATCCCAGTGCCTCCTTGCCCACAGTTCTCCCCTAGCCTGTTCTAGAGCTCTTGGGGACAGAGACAGACCAGCCTGTGTGCACTTTTGGGTGGGATGTCCAGTGGGAGGGGGCACAGGGATGGATCTGCCAGGAAAAGGGCCCTCCGTGTCCTCAGCGTGGCCAGACTTGAGGGTTTCCACCCTGCTTTGCCAGGTCTGCCTTGGGATTGGTGCTAGCTGGGTCCCTACTGCCTGGAGGCCGTGGCCGTGCCTTGCAGAGGCTTTGGCCCATCTGAGGCTGCTGGGGGACCCGGGACACCCCTGACTTGCTGCATGTCTTGCAGGAACCTTATTGAGCTGGGTCCCTACTGCCTGGAGGCCGTGGCCGTGCCTTGCAGAGGCTTTGGCCCATCTGAGGCTGCTGGGGGACCCGGGACACCCCTGACTTGCTGCATGTCTTGCAGGAACCTTATTGAGCCGGACCAGTGCACGTACAACTTCACGGTGTCTCGCATCGACGTCTGCCTGAAGAAACGCCAGAGCCAGCGCTGGGGCGGGCTGGAGGCCCCAGCCACACGAGGTCTGCACCCTGCCTTCCTGTCTTGCCTGCCTGCTGCACCCCAGAGGGGCATGGGTCCTCCTCACCACCGGCAGCAGCTGGATGGTGCCAGATCCTCTGGCGTGGGGTTGTTGGGAAGGAGAGGGGCTGAGCGGGTGCAGGCAGGAGGGGTGCAGGGCAGGGTGAGCCAGGCGCTAGGGGAAGGGCACTGCTGTTCCCCTTGCTCGTGGGGAAGAGGGGTAGGAGAGAGCCTGTGTGTGAGCACGGACCAAGCACAGCCCCGCCGTGGGCAGCGCGTGGGGCTGCTAACCACAGGCCAACCCTTCCCCCTTTTTAAGGTGCAGTGGGTGGTGCAAAGGTTGCCATGCCTACAGGCCCTACCCCTCTGGACAAGAAACCCCCGGGCAGTAACCAGCACCCCCTGTCCAGCAAGGGGGAGGCCCGAGCCAGTGACAAAGAGAAGCCACGTGTGGAAGATGGGGGTCTGGATGGTGTGGCAGCCCGTACGGCCCCAGAGCATGTGGCAGTGAAGCAAGAGCCGCACATCCCCTCGGTGAGTGGGAACACACTGGATTTGACATGGGTGGGGGGAAAGAGGGGCCCACTTGTCCTTCTTGTGGGACCCCACCTCCTCAGTGTTGCTCTGGGGAGCAGCAAACTGTTCCTTGAGGAGGAGACAGCACTCCTCAGTCACAGCTGGCAGGACTGGGGGCAGCGGTTGGTCTGTCTATCCCAGTCCTGGTGGGAGATGGTGTGATGGCTCCAGCTCAGCCATATGAGAGCTGCCTTGGGCTTTTGGGTTCCCCTGGTGTTCCCAGAGAGACCCCTGAGCGCAGCACTCACACCTGCCTCTGCCCTGACAGCCCAAACCGACGTGCATGGTGCCGCCAATGACGCACAGCCCCGTGAGCACTGAGAGTGTGGAGGATGATGAGGATGAAGACGAGAAGAAGAAGGTGTGCCTGCCTGGCTTCACGGGACTGGTGAACCTGGGCAACACCTGCTTCATGAACAGCGTCATCCAGTCCCTGTCCAACACCCGGGAGCTCCGCGACTACTTCCATGGTGAGCCCTTGCTGAGAGCCCAGCAGAGCCCTGCGGCTCGGACGG